ACAAAACATGGATATTAATGTTAATGTTAAATATGGAACGTATGGACGGTTCATTGGTTTTATTAACCATAAGATTGCTGGATAGGTAGTCACACAAGGTTACAAGAACATTTTATGTTAGCACAAGTTTTAAGTTTACGCAGCCTACATATGCACGCATAATTACACGAAATAAACATACCACAAATTCCATATTGCATTAAACTCCCAATATTCCAAGTAATCAAAATAATTGATAACTTTGCTGGAGAACAAATCAACGAATTATCTTCGACATCATATAAATACCATCCATAACTTTGAGATACAAGTTTTTGTAAATTTTTTATGAATGGCGGAAGTTCCAATGAAACTTTTACAGCTATTACCAATTTTTCAGGTTTAGATGTTGAATGAGTATCCGTTTGGGATACTGAATTTGAAGAATCATCAGGCTCACAGAGTTTTTGAATTCTCGAAGAACTTTTTGCACGGTGATTTGCAGCCCAAATTCGAATAGCTCTTAACAAGTTTTTTAGTCGTTTTGGATGCTCTATTAGAGTAAGTAACGTAAATTCAGCGTTTATGACCTGAGCAGTTTTGATGTTAATATATATTTAGCTTAAAAGGACAAAATATATATATATATATATCGCACTAATTTTCATATGAACCTGCAATAAAATTTCAATCCAAAAATATTTTTCTTTATTTTGTTGTATACTAATTAAATCGATTAAAATTAAGATATAAAGAGTTAACGCAAACATCAGTCGAAAATAGCTCATTATTTCCATAAATCTTTTAATTTTTTGAAATATAAGTTTTTTCATCGGTATCTTTACGTTATTAAGATTTGGAGTTGTTTTTATTTCATCATCATGGTTTAACGTGAAATCAGTAGGTGGACTGTTGAGGTCGCTCATCCTATTTGAGTATATTAACTTATAAAATCAGGATAAATTATTTGAATATTTTTGAAGAGTTAATAACTAAAAAAAATAATAGTAGTAAAGTACCGCGCTTTTTATATTATTGTAATTAAAACTCACCTGAATGAGTGACCATATATTTTTAATTCACTATTATTAGATTATAGTTTCAACACGGGAATTACGCCGTTCCAAGGAAATGCATACATATTTTAGCAGTTTAGTCACAATGAAATACAGATGATAATCATTGTATTCTTCTCAAGCACTATAATGCTACCATTTTTATTTCTATTGTGCCTACGTAGATACTTTGTATGCAAATAAGTATAACCTATATTATGTTAGGTTTAGTAAATCAATGCAATGGTACTTATCGATGCATTTTATAATGACTTAGATAGATTTATTAGTCAGTTATCCTTGTTTGAGATTTATCATTATGTTTGATAGCATTGGATGCAGTATAGTACAAGATCTTTATTTATTCAGAGAATGAGTGTGATACATAACTATGTTTTTTGATGTATTCACGTAAGAATACGTAAATGAATTGCGTTCTTGGGGACTTAACAGCTAAGTAAAGAATATCCTTAACAACTAAGTAAAGAATATCAAAAACGTAAACGTATATAATTTTGGCGTTTTCTGTCTTCACTCAATACTAAATATTTTTCCGATTATTATCATTGGTATTCTAAATTTATATTACGTATAATTAAGTTAAAACTGTAACTATTATTTTTTAAAATTTTATTATAACTTTAGAAAATTTTACCCTTAACTAACCTTAGCCTACTTGAATTTTTTTACCCATGTGATAGAGATATCGTGGTTAATACTATCTCAATGACTTTCTAATACGATTTCTCGACTTACTGAGTTTCTTTTCGTGGCTACTGCGCCTTAACATTCAGTAAATACCGATATTCAGCACTTAATCTCTTATGACATCTTATTAGAATCTCTATTTCTCTCTGAATCTGTTCTCAAGTAATTTGCTAATTAGTTATATTTATGATGATAAAAACCGATTGATGAATAGAGTCAAACAAGCTAATTAACATCACTATTACTGTGGTTATTATTTTCTAGTCTCAGACGTATTTCTAATTATTATCGTTCTTGGATCGAGTTTAATTACATCAATCACGGTTATAATTATCTTTATTATTTCATATAACATTACACAGTATATACGTATACTGCATTTATTTATTTATTATATATATAGCATATATTAATAACTTTAGCGTTAGGCGTAAAAACAATAATGATTAGAAACTACGTATACGTATAGTGATACACTTTTTTGCTTAGAAAAAAAAATAAGTTTATTTAGAAATTAAAAGTTTCACAATTATAAAAATACTAAGCTGCAATCAAAACTGGTGAATTAATTGATCGGTTTACACATGAACTACTCATTGTTCTTAAAAA